CTGGCGCTGTGGCATAATGGGTAAAGGCATCCCATATGTGCGCCAATTCGAGTCCCGGCTGCTCCACTTCCAATCCAGCTCCCTGGTAATGCACCTGGGAAAGCAGTGGAAGATGGCCCAAGTGGGAGCCAGGGATGAAGCTCCTGGTTTCACTCTGGCCTTAGCCCCCACTGTTGTGGCCATTTAGAGTGAACCAGCAAGGGAAGTTCTCTCTCTCTCTCTCTCTCCCTCTCTCCCTCTCTCCCTCTCCCTCCCTCCCTCTCCCTCTCTCCCTCTGCCTTTCATATAAATAAATCAATCTTTTTTAAAAAAGAGATTTGATAGGCAGAGTTACAGAGCAGGAGGAAGGGAGACACAAGAGAGAAAGAGATCGATCTTCCATCATTTGGTTCACTTCCCAAATGGCTAAAACAGCCAGGTCTGGGCCAGGCCAAAGCCAGGAGCAGGGAACTCCATCCAGGTCTCCCACGTGGGTCAGCATCTGCTGCCTTCCCAGATGCATTAGCCAGGACCTGGATTGTAAGTGGAGCAGCTGGGACTCAAATTGGATGTGGGTGACCGGCTTAATCAGCTGTGCTACAACTCTGGGGCCCCCTAAATATCTTTTAAATGCGGGTTCTGTCTATACACTTTCAGAGTGAAGACAAAACTGTTAACAAATACTGAATCCTAGGGAGATTTGTTTTTCACAGAGGCATTCTACATTCCAAAAGGCAAAAATCATATTCCGTGATCTCTAGGGTTGCAAAATACATACCCTGTGGATACAGGAGCCAGAATTCTCCTCGTGAGAGGAAGGAATGGGAGAGAACAGAACAAACCGGAGAGTTCTAGAGAGCAGATTCCACGAGGAACTCCCGGTTTTGGCTGCCTGTAGAAACAGACGCAGTGCCCGAGTGTGACACCCCTGGCAGCAGCTCCAGCAGAGCTCGGTTCCACCCTAAAGGAAACCAGGAATCCTTGCCGGGAAGGTGGATCCAGGGCTGGGGCTGGAAAAATGCATCTTTTGTTGTAGGAGGAAGTGAGAAGTGCTTACAAGGAGCTGGCAAAGCAGTGTTGGATTTGAGAAGGCTGGGGGAAGGGATGTGGAGATGCAGAGAAGGTTGTGGGGAAAACCTCCAGAGTGATTAGGGGCTAAATAAGCAAAATACCGACATTTCTGCTCTACAGTATAAGTGCTGCTAAGGGCTGCTCAGTACTGTAAGTCCTGAGATTAACAGAAGCCAAACTGCTCACTGTCGGAGGACACGTTCGCAAACACGGATGGGGACACCCAGGAAGAACCTGAGGTCCTGGATTGTGAGGTCATGGGTATGAACTCATGATCTTAGCATACATATGCACACACACACAGAGAAGTGGTTACAGGTAACACACACCCCAGATCGGACTGCTACTGTCCCGGCTGCTCTGCTTCCAATCTCACTTCCTGCTAACACGCATAGGAAGGCAGCAGAAAACAGTTCAAGTCCTTGGGCCCCTGTCACCCACGTGGGAGACCCAGGTGGAGTGCCTCGCTCCTGGCTTCGGCGTGACTGAGCTACAGCCGGCAGTTGCAGCCATTTGGGGAGCGAATCAGCAGATGGAAGATCCAATTCGGCGGTGCTGTGGCATAGCAGGTAAAGCCACTGCCTGCAACAACAGCATCCCGTATTGGCACTGGTTTGAGTCCCGGCTGCTCCACTTCCAATCCAGCTCCCTGCTAATGTGCCTGAGAAAGCAGCGGAGGACGGCCCAGGGACTTGGGTCCCTGCACCCACGTGGGAGACCAGGAAGAAGCTCCTGTTTCTGGCTTCGGCCTGGCCCAGCCCCAGCCATTGAGGCTATTTAGAAAGTGAACCAGTGGATGGCAGATACCTGTCTCTGTCTCTCTCTGTAATTCTTTCAAATAAATAATAAAAAAAATTAATTTGTAAAAAAGATCTCTCTCTGTTTGCCTTTCAAATAAAATAAATCTTTTTCTAAAAACATTTATTTTAGCGGCTGGTGCTGTGGTACAGTGGGTTAATCCGCCGCCTGCAGTGCCGGCATCCCCATGTGGGAACCAGTTCTAGTCCCGGCTGTTCCTCTTCCAATCCAACTCTCTCCTGTGGCCTGCGAAAGCAGTGGAAGATGGCCCAAGTCCCTGGGCCCCTGCACCCGCGTGAGAGACCTGGAAGAAGCTCCTGGCTTCGGACTGTTGCAGCTCTGGCCTCTGCGGCCATCTGGGGAGTAAACCAGCGGGTGGAAGACCTCTGTCTCTCCCTCTCACTGTCTGTAACTCTACCTCTCAAATAAATAAAAATCTTTAAAAATAAATAAATAAAAACTAAAACATTTATTTTATCCAAAAGGCAGTTTCAGGGAGCGGGGGAGGGAATCTTCCACGCACTAGTTCACTCCTCAAATGGCTGCAACAGCCAGGGCTGGGCTAGACTGAAGCCAGGTCTCCCACGGGGGTGCAGGGCCCCAGATACTTGGACCACCACTGCTCCTTCCCCAGGCAGCTAAGCAGGGAACTGGACCACAAGTGGAAAATCCCACATGGGATGCTAACGTCACAGGCCGCAGCTTAACTCTCTGTGCCACAATGCTGGCCCCAATAAGTAAGTCTAAATACACACACACATTTATCACCATGCGTGTTAGATGTAGACGTGTAGACATAAATCCATACACATACATTTCTCCGCTCAACCCACGGAGAAGGCCCCGAAGCAACGGTCCCCAGGCAACAGTGAGCACCCCGAGTTCTGATGGAGGTACAGAAACACCGTCCTCCACCTGAAACCAATCCGGCCCTTCAGAGATACAGCGTTTCTGGGGCTGAGACAGGGAAAATATTACTTGGATCTGGGACACTGTGTTGTACAAAAAAATAAATAGAAGAAATGCCAACGAATGATGAAAACATGCCAAAGGGACCCAAAAGTCAACCTACAAGCGGTTGCCACTGGCTAAATCTGGGACATATAAAATAAAGATAGCCATTGGGGGTGGGCTTGTGGTTCAGTCAAGCCACCAGTGGGAACGTCCACTTGTCACGCTAGTGCCTGACGTGGATTCTCAGCTACTTTGTGCTTCTGATCCAGCTTCCTGCTAAGGGGCTCGCTGGGTGGCAGCAGGTGACGCCTCAAGTACGTGGGCTCCTGCCACCCAAGTGGGAGACTGTGCTGGGAGTTTCTGGCTCCTGGCTTCAGCCTGGCCAGCCCCAGCTCTTGCAGGCACACGGGAAGTGAACCAGCAGATGGACGGGCTGTCTCTTTCCCTTTTTCAAATAAATAAATAAACAAATAAACAAAAACTTAAAAAGAAATCCAACAGGTTGTACTGGATCACAGCTCACTGAGTAAAATTAGAGCCCGAGTCCCAGGGAGAAAATAAGGCCCTTCTGTACAGAACGCTGTCAGCTTTTTGTTATTGTAACAAAAAACCCGAGACAGCCTATGAAGGAGAGGAGGGAGGTTTACGGAGGCCAGAGTGCTGGGCTCTACCCTGGTGACAGCCTTCCTGCCGGCAGAGCCCCAAGGTGACCCAGAGCACCACACGGCAAGGTCTCCATCTACGGCCTTTTCTAAAGCCACCAAAATTAATCACGGGCTCCACCTTCAAAACCGAATCAGAGGCCGGCGTTGTGGCACAGCGGGTAAAGCTGCTGCCTGCAGTGCTGGCATCATCAGTCCCTCTGCTCCACTTCTGTCCAGCTCTCTGCTGTGGCCTGGGGAAGCAGTGGAGATGGCCAGGTCCTTGGGCCCCTGCCCCCGCGTGGGAGACCCGGAGGAAGCTCCGGACGGACGTTGTGACCATTTGGGGAGTGAACCAGCGGACAGATCTCTCTCTCTGCCTCTCTGTAACTTTTTCTTCTAAATAAATAAATAACCTTTAAAAACAATCAATCCAATCACCTCCCAAAGGCCCGCAGCTGTACTGCGTCTCCACCATCTTAGCGGCACCAACCCTCAAGCTAACAGTGGGTGGCAGACAGCGAGGTCAGGCAAACGCCAACTCACGAGGTAAGAGCCAGGCAGATGGACACAAACACATCTGAGGTCTGATGAAGGGGACGGATTCAGGCGGCCAACATCGACAAGGCTAAGGCAAGAGGGCGCTGGTCTGAGGACAGAGACACTGGTGCGCCTCTGGACGCGCCCGTGATGACGGGGAAGGATGAACCACGGGAGGGAGCTGGACGACGCCGACGTGACCACCGGGCTGGCGTGCCAGCCTTGCGACGCGCTGCTGTCTGCGTGCCTCCTCGGCGGCTGTGGCGAGGCACACGGCCTCGCTCGGCGGTGCTCCTGCTACCACGCTGGCTGAGAGGCAGCCCCACCGCTGCCTGGCTCCGAGCGCTGGCTCCGACTTCCCGCTGATGCGCCCTCTGCAAGGCCGCAGGTGAGCCTGGGTCCCAGTCCTCCACCTCGGAGACGCGGACTCCGCGCTGCAGCCTGGCCCAGCCCCACGTCAGGGCATTTCGGAAGTTAACCACCAGACGGGCGACGTCTGTGTTTCTCCCTCTCTCTGCCTTTCAAATACATAAATATGTATACTTCTTGATGCACGACCGTCGTCTGCTGGTCTGAAACACGAGACAGACCCATGCTGGCTGGCAGGCTCCCTCTAGAATCTAAGGCACGCACTCTCCTAGACCACCCGAGACGTGGGAGGGCGCCTGAAGGGAGGAGAGCGTCCTCCCTGCCTGTAGGGCGACCACCGGGGCCTCGGGAGCCAGGGCCCTGCCCTAACCACCTCCACCGCCCCTCCCTCCAGGACGGGGCTTGGCAAACGCCAGGCACACAACCACGGCCCCGCTCACTTTCCGGGGTCAGCCGGCCACTTCACAGACCCAGCACGGGAGACGCTCAAGCCCCTCGTGGGGCCACGAGTGGGGACGAGCGAGCTCCCCGAACGGCCGGGGCAGCAAGCTGCACACGCGCGAGCCACGAAACCAACGCAGGGCGCGCCGAGGGCGAGGGGAGACTCGGGGCCAGAGAGCCGACCCAGGCTCCGGGGCCGCGGCTCACCTCGCCCCGCAGAAGCCAGTCGCGGTCGTAGCACAGGCGACCTTTGTCGGAGCTGCGCAGCGCCTGTAGGGTCTCCCAGCAGCGGCCCTCGGACGGCATCGCCCGCCATGGAACAGCGGCTCGGAGGCGCCGCTTGTGACAAAACAAGCCCTCCAATCAGTCGCCGGGACAGGGGCATCCACTTCCGCTTCCGGGGCACGCAGGCCGAGCAGGGCCCGCCTACCGCAACGGCTGAGCGCCCCGCCCCTGGGTGGGGACTGAGGCGCTGCTATCGCGCCTGCGCACTAGGTTGCCCTTCCCCACCCCGCGCCGCCCGCCCTGGGGCGCCTGCGTGCTGGGCTCGCCCGCCGCGGGGGTCCTGGGCGTGAAAATCGGGCACCGGCCGAGAAGGGGTGAGACTGGACCCCTGCTCGCCGGTGTGGGGCGGCCGGGGGGTGTCGTAGCTCCCGCTTGACCCGGCAGTTCTAAGTGTGTTCGGCTCAGCATCACTCATAATGGCCGACCAGTGAAAGCGACCCCGCGTCCTCCGTCGAGGGAAGAGGCAGAGGGGACCGGGGATAGCAGACGGCGGCCCCGGCGCGCGCGCGATGGCCCCCGAGAGCGGTGCGGGGTCCGAGCGGCCCCTCACGGGTGGGAGGGTGTCCCGCTTGTACGCGTCCATTGACGCGAAGTGTCCGAGGTAGGCGAATCCAGGCCTTTTACTGGTTGAGGGGACCGGAATGGCGGGTGGCAATGGGGGGCTGGAGCCAGTGAAGGAGCCCACAGCCCAGGAGGGGCGCCCCGGGGCAGGCCTCAGGACACCCGAGAGAGTCCGACCAGGATGGGAGTTGGGGGACTGGAGGAAGGAGTGCCGGCCCAACAGGCTTGGGTGTGGGGAGGAGAATGGGCTAGAAACGGGCTAAGTGGCGGTGGCCACAGAGCTGGCGAGTTGTCTGGAAAACCCCACTGGAGTGAATCCTGCGGACTAGGCACGGCCTGGCGGCCAGGGCCACGGTGCATGGGCCACGGCCGCCAGGGCCACGGTGCACGGGCCACGGCGCACCTGCCACGGCGCCCGCGCGTGGCTCCGCCCGGGGCGCCCCTCATTTGCACAGGCTCTGTGTGAGGCAGGGAGGATTCCCTGGAGCGGTATCGCTAACAGTTTTCGCCTTCTGATTTCTTTTTACAAACTCCCAGGACGTTCTTGTGAGGACACGGTTCGGAGGAGCCCCGGCTGTGCCCGGGGGAGGTGGCGCGTGAGGCTGCCGCACCTGCTGTAGGTGGGCCGGCCGCCCGTCCCTCGTACTCCAGGGGTGTGAGTCAGGGTCAGTTCCGTGGCGACGACGGCTGGTCAGTGTTCACGATGACTTTGCTTAGAAACACTGAAGACCGAGGCCGTAAGTGCTGTGAAATGTGATGGAGCAGAGGGGGAAGTTTCTGGTTTTGGAAATCCAGATTGGGGGGGGGGGGGGTCAGGGGGTGGAGAGGCAGGACAGAGAAGAATCATCTGGAGCTTCTGTCATATTTGAGAGGCAGAGCCGCAGAGAGAGGGAAAAGCAGAGAGGTCCTCCACCCACTGGTTCACTCCCCAGATGGCCAAAACGGCCAGAGCTGGACTGATCTGAAGCCAGGAGCTCCCCCCAGGTCTCCCACGTAGGTGCAGGGCCCAAGGCCCCACTCCCACCCTGAAGCAGCCGGGACCGACTAGAACCAGTGCCCATCATCAGATGCCAGTGCCGCAGGCGGAGGCTTACCCTGCCGCGCCGCAGCGCTGGCCCAGCCCTGGAGTTTTGGGCTTGGGTTAGAATGACTGAGGCGATACCAGACAAAATGGAAGGCTAGGGTACAGATTTGTCGCTTCTCTCCAAATAATCCGTTCTTATAAATACAGGAAGATGTGAACAAAAATGGCTCAAAATTTCATCATTTCAGAGACCAGGTAACATTTTAAAAATAAAAGTAGGGGCTAGCGCTTGCGGCGCAGTGGGTTAAAGCCACGGCCTGCAGTGCCAACATCCCGCAGGGGTGCTTGTTCGAGTCCCGGCTGCTCCACTTCCAATCCAGCTCCCTCCTGGTGTATCTGGAAAGGCAATGGAAGATGGCCCAAGTGCTTGGACCCCTGCACCCATGCGGCAGACCAGGGTGGAGCTCCTGGCTTCTGGCTTGAGCCTGGATCAGCCTCTGCCATTGTAGCCATTTGGGGAGTGAACCAGCAGATGGAAGATACCTCTTATCTCTGTGTCTGCCTGCCAAATAAATATTTTTTGAAAAGGTCATTCATGGGGCTGGCGCTGTAGTGGAGCCAGTAAAGCCACTGCCTACAGTGCCAGCATCCCACGTGGGGGCTGGTTCAAGTCCTGGCTGCTCCACTTCTGATCCGGCTCTCTGCTGTGGCCTGGGGGAAAGCGGTGGAAGACAGCTCAAGTGCTTGGGCCCCTGCACCCGCGTGAGAAGACCTGGAGGAGGCTCCTGGCTCCGGATCGGTGCAGCTCCAGGCCATTGCAGCCAACTTGGGAGTGAACCAGTGGATGGAAGACTCCTCTGTGTGTGTGTGTGTGTGTGTGTGTGTAACTCTTTGAAGTAAATAAATCTTTAAAAAAAGAAGAAGAAGGCAGTACACACCGGTGCTGTCCTGACGACTCGGGTGACCCGCACCAAGCACAGAGCTGCGCCTGGCACCCTGCGTCCCCAGAAGCTGAGCGCAGGGAAAGGACCGCCTGGGCTGGGATGAAACAAAAAGCCTCGTGTTTTACGTGCCAAGTACTTTAAAAACGTTTACAGGCTCTCAATCATTTTAATCATTTCTAGAAAAGGTATTAGAAGCAACAAAAAATCATCCAACGGAGCCTTAAATAACTGATTATAAAAAATTTTGTAAAACCACACAAACATTTCAAGAATCGATGCACCCCCGAGAAACAAACCAGGCAAAGAGAAAACAAACTCAGTATGGTGGGGGTCACACCTGCAGCAGCCCAGCGGGCCCACGCCCTGGGAGGTCTGCTGGGAAGCGGCTGGGGCACTGGCCTCAAGGAAGCTTCCCGCGGGCTAAGGGGGGCCTTGGAACCCCACAGCAGCGGGCTAGAGCCAGTGAAGGAGCCCCACAGCCCAGGAGGGGCGCCCCGGGGCAGGTCTCAGGACACCCGAGAGAGTCCGACCAGGATGGGAGTTGGGGGACTGGAGAAAGGAGTGCCGGCCCAACAGGCTCCTGGGCAAGGAAGAGACTCAGCAAAGTCGTGGAGAGCTACAGCCCCACAGCTCAGTACCCTCGCGCAGTAGTACCCGTAAAGCCTGTCAAGGAAGCCAACTCCCGTCTGCCCACCACCATCAGGGAGAGCAAACCCAGTGCCTCCCGCTTCGTCCCCTGCTGCTTCAGGGGCTTCATGCCAGAGCTAAGCACAAGACCCTGGCCACACTCCTCACTGCAAGAGGGAGGGAAACCAACAGGCTTCCCGGCTACAGCTTGGCAGCCGCTGGTGCCATAGTGTCAGGCAGGGCTCCAGGCCCTGGACAGACAGCCTCAGGCCGGAGGAGAGCGGGAGCGGATGGGAGAGCTGGTCAGGAAGGTGGTGTAAGGCCCCTCCCCAAACACATTGGCGTAGGACGACTTGAGGAACTGGACGTAGTTCTGCATGCTGCGGTTGGTGCCCTCCGACTGCTCCAGGCGGTCTTTCAGGTCCTGCAGCCGGCTCTGGTAGCGGCGGTCCGCCTGAGAGAGAACAGCGTGGCGGGGTCAGCCCTGCGGTGCAGAGGGTGAAGCTGCCGCCTACAGCGCCGCCACCCCATGTGGGCACCGGTTTAGTTCCCAAGCTGCTCCACTTCCGATCCAGCTCCCTAGGTGCTCCTGGGAAAGCAGTGGAGGGAGGCCCAAGTCCTTGGGCCCCTGCACCCACGTGGGAGACCTGGAAGAAGCTCCTGGCTCCCAGCTTCGGATCAGCCCAGCTCCAGCTGTTGTGGCCATTTAGGGAGTGAACCAGTGGATGGAAGACCTCTCTCTCTGCCTCTGCCTCTCAAATAAATAAATCTTTAAAGTAAAAAGAAATTATCTTGTGATGATAATTGCACAACTCTGAATGTACTAAAAACTACCAAGTTGTATAATTTAAAATGCAAATTTGAGGCCAGCACTGGCATAGCAGGTAAAGCTGCGCCTGCAGTGCCAACATCCCATATAGGTGCCAGTTTGAGTCCCAGCTGCTCCACTTCCAATCCAGCTCTCTGCTATGGCCTGGGAAAGCAGTGGAAGATGGCCCAAGTGCTTGGGCCCCTGCACCCACGTGGGAGACCAGGAAGAAGCTCCTGGCTCCTGGCTTCGGATCGGTGCAGCCCTGGCTGTTGTGACCATTTGGGGAGTGAACCAGCGGATGAAAGATCTCCATCTCTCTCTGGCTCCCCTTCTCTCTGTGTAACTCTGACTTTCAAATAAATCTTTTTAAAAAATTTAAAATGAAAATAAATTTTTTGGAACGTTAAGTTGTATCTTATAAAGCTGTTTTTATTTATAAAAAGAGATCTACCTAGAATATCCTCAATGGATAGGAAAGTGAAGAAAGCCGAAACCATGTCATATTCATAAAACGACTATCAAACTCCTCGCTCTGCAGCCCCAAAGGGAGCTGAAGCCTCCGTCCGCTCTGCCCTTGCCCGGCCTCTTGCCCACTGGCCCAACTCACATCATCTCGGCTCCGCCGCAGCTGGCTGAGTTCCGTTTTGGCTCTGCTCAGCTGGGTCTCCAGGTCCAGGATCTTGTTCTGGGCTGCTCGCTCCTTGGAAAGCGCCTGCTCCTTGGTTTGTTCCACCTGCAGGGAAGGCCCGGGGGTGGGGACGGCTTAGCTCACACAGGGGATACCTGTCCAGGAGAAGGCCGTCTGGCCACGCCCACTCCCTGGCCTCACAGACAGCACTTGCGCATCAGTGTGGGACATGCGCTCTGACGCCGGGGGCAGGAGTTAACCCCGGGACTCCTTCAGCAACCAGCCTTGTCCACCCCTTCCCGACACCACCTACTAGTGCTAAACCTGGTTCCCTGGGGGCAGCGATCCACCGAGTAGTCATCCTGCGTAAAGTGTTGAGTCTACAAAAGACAGTTACCCACTGACCCTCCCACAGACCCACGAGGCAGGGACTGCTTCCTGTTCGTTCCTCAGAAAATGGCGAACAAGGCTCCAGCAGGCTGGCGACCTGCCCGAGGTCCCAGGGCTGCTGAGCAGTGCAGCTGGGACTGACCTGCCTCCTGGCATCTTCAATCGCGCTCTCCAGCTGCCTCGCCAGGGACCCGCATTCCCGCGTCTTCTCCTCCAGGCGCAGCTGGGACTGGTGGATGGCCTCCTCCCTCTTGGCAATCACCTGTAGGAACTCGATATTCTGCGCGCTGGTCGCCTCCAGTTTCCTAGGCAGAAGCACTCAGTCAGACCCCGTATGTGCCCCCTGTCTGTCTCGCTCCACCCCGCCAGGGGGGCTGCCGCCAACCCCTGGCCTGGGGATCTCATCACGCCACGGATCTCCAGGGAGCCATGGGAAGAAACCAGAGCTGTGCAGATGAGCAAGGCAGCCAAGGCACAGTGCGGCCGGAGCGCTGGGTAGAGAACAGTGTGGGACGCAGCTACTGGCAGCTCAGGGAACGGCCGCCACTACCAACCCCGCTTCAGAGACGGCGTGACTGAACCCCAAAGAGAGGAAGTCCCTGGCCCGAGGTCAACCCCATGACCCATGTCTCCTCAACTTCTGCCGGTCACTGCCGCCTCTCTCAGCAGAGGGACTTCAGCTGAGCCGCTTGACATCTTATGCAGCCAGCCAATGGGAAAGACAGAGCCAAACCAACGTACACACACTTCCCCACTGCACTTCCGGTGCCAGTACATCTTCCAACTTCTGGAGTGCTGCAAGTCTTGCTGAGTTCTAACTGCATTTTCCAGGTCGGCAGGGCAGGGCAGGGCAGGGCAGAGCAGCTCCTTCCAGCCTCCCTGCAGGCTGCAGAGCCACGTGGGGCGCTCGTGGCCTCCTACAACCTCAGGCGGGCCCTTCTGAAACAGGCTGGGACCAGTGCTCGCACAAGCTCTGGAGGAGGGCAGCCCAGTCTACGCTGCAGCTTTGCCAGCTACCAGCTATGTGGCCTTGGTCGTATCACCTGACCTGCCCCACATTTAGTTTCCACAGATTTAATATGCGGTAACCATGCCAGGAAATGTGCTAAGCCTTTTTTTTTTTTTTTTTTTTTTTTTTTTTTTGACAGGCAGAGTGGACAGTGAGAGACAGAGAGAAAGGTCTTCCTTTACCGTTGGTTCACCCCCCAACGGCCGCTGCGGCCGGTGTACCGCGCTGATCCAAAGCCCGGAGCCAGGTGCTTCTCCTAGTCTCCTGTGGGGTGCAGGGCCCAAGTACTTGGGCCATCCTCCACTGCACTCCCGGGCCACAGCAGAGAGCTGGACTGGAAGAGGAGCAACCGGGACAGAATCTGGCACCCTGACCGGGACTAGAACCCTGGGGTGCCAGCACCGCAGGCAGAGGATTAGCCCAGTGAGCTGCGGCGCCGGCTGTGCAAAGCCTTTTTCCAGAATCACTCTGGAGACTCACAGCAGCACTGGAGCCCAGATCCCTGGTCCCTGCCTTTCTCCTCGCTCAAGACGAGAAAACTGGGATTCAGAGGAAAGAAATGGTTCACTCAAGGCCCCAGGGCTGGGGTCAAGGCCAGGGCTCATGACCCCACAGGTAGTCTTTTTACCTCGGGTGATGCCTCCAACAATCCATAAGCAACAGGCAAGAGTCCGATCAGAAAGGCCTGGAAAGGATGACCTAGAACAGGGCACAGGAAGGAGGGGCACTGCCCCCAGCCCAGTGTCCTGGCTGTTCCATCCAAACCACGCCCGGGGTTGGCCGGGGCCGAGCGTGCCTTGGATCCATGGTGCCTTCTGGTGGCCTGATCCTGATCACTGTTGTGACACGCAATGCTTACCACGGACATGGAAGTGGCTTTTCCTCTGAGCTCTGCCTAGCACCATCCAGGGCCTGCAGTCCCTCAAACCTTCCGCACACTAAGCACAAAGCAGCTAAGTGGCTGAAAGTCTCAGGTCCTAGGAGGAGGACAGAGATGGGACCAAGTGTCTCTAACCTCTCCAGTTCATCCACCTTCAGACTCAGCTGTTTATTTTCCTTCTGGGAAGCCTGATGTTTCTCTCTCGCCATCTCCAGCTTGTCCCCCTGATGTTCGATCTAAAATGACAGGAACACAGACTGGTTTATGAAGGCACGTCCCAGCACAGTCCTCCCTTTTCCCTGGGACCTGTCGTCCACGCCCAGGGAAGAGGCACGCTGCCCTCAGCAGGTGCCCGAGTCTCAACGGCACAACCTAGAGGAGAGAGGAGAGCAGGGACAGGTTAGGCCGTGCTCCAGCGACAGAAGGCGTCACCACACCAGGAGACGCCAGGCTGGACGCCGAGGAGCCACAGCGATGCTTTCTTCATCAGGAGAGGTCACTCAGAGGTCACCCAGACCCAGCTGGGGTGCAGGGCAGACGCAAGAAGGCGGCAGCGGACAGGAGGCCTCACTGGCCCATGGGACAGACCACAGAGCTTTACCACTTATGTTGTTGGTACCAGCGATGCCATCCGCCCCTTAACTGGGGAGAGAGGTGTGTGCCCGGCCACAGGAAAGGGCCTGAGGGCCCTGGCAATGCTCAGGTCCAGCTGAGAAGGCAGTGAGGACACAGACTTGGGAACCAGACAGAGCTGCCGGGCTCTGATCCCGATGGACTTATTGATCGGCACTGTGGTGTTGGGAAATTACTTCTCCCCTCTGTGCCTTGGGCTGCTTTTTTATAAAAGGGAAAAGGAACGATACATACACTTCCCTGAGCTCCTGGGGGGATGAAATGAGTGCTGGGGCACGGAGAAGGCGCTCAGGAACGTGAAGCTCCTAATGTTATTATTCCAAACAAACAGGTCAAGAGAGGGGAGGGGCCTGCCACGGTCACACCGCAAATGAGTGGCATGCGATTTCCTGGACACCACAGGCAGCAGGATCCCCACAACCCAGAGGCTTCTGGGGGAAGGAAACACTTGCTTCTCAGGCAGTGGATCTGTGAAGGAAGGAGGGGCAGGTGAGCCAGACAAGGCGCAGGAAAAGCGAGCGTGCAGCAGGCGGAGGCCGAGGGGCTGAGGGCAGCGATGAGCTCAGCAGGGGCGACAGCAGGAGGGCCAGCGGCTCCAGGCGAGGGGCGGCTCCGACACTACAATCACTTGGTGCAAACACAAGACATTTGGCACACCAGACTTTATTTCACAGCACTGATGATAGCTCACTTCTTTCAGAAAGCAGCAGCCAAGGAAAAGGAAGTGGTCCTCCCTGGGGGCGTGCAGCTCATCTTGGTAAGCGGGCCCCTGCTCGGGCCAGTTCGTGGGACCCTTTCTGCCAGTCCCTTACCCGGCTGCGCAGGTCTGATATGATGGCTGTGAGGTCAATGTTCTTCCTCTCATAGCCCTGCAGCTGGTCTTGGCACTCGGCCAGCTTAGCCTCCGTGATCTTGAGGATGTCAGGCAGTTGCTGAAGGTCAGCCAGCTGGGACTGGAACTGCCGCCGAGCCTGGGGTGGGGAACAGAGACACCGTCAGGAAGGGCCCGGCTGCCAACGGGGCTGGGCAGTGTTCTGGAGTTAGGGCGGGGACAATCCACAGGCAGGAGTGTGGCCTGCCCTCATCAGAGGCCTCTTAGCAAGTTTCCAGCTGCTTCCAGCCTGACTTCAACTTGACATTCACTCAGCCACGCAGTGAACACCAGGACCCGGCCTGTGCGAAGGGCTTCCCGAAGCTGCTCATTTCATCCAGTCAATAACCCGCAGAGTAGGTGCTGCCGTCACCGGGTGAGGACATTGCTCTGGGCCAGGCAGCCAAGACCAGGAAGGCCATGAATGAAGTCTGGGATAGTCCACACCCCAGGTCAGAGGTCAAGGTGAGAGCTAGCTGGTCTGGGTCCATCCTTGTACATAACAGGTGACAACTGGGGACCTGAGACAGGCAGTGAGTTGCCCATGGTTATGAAACAAGCTGGTGGCTGAGCCTGGACTGGACTCATCTCCAAGGCTATGCCAGGCTAAGATGGCCACTGTAGTCCAGTGTAGTCCATTCCTCTGCAGGAATATGGCTCTTTGGGAAGGGGAAGTTGGCAAAAAATAAAGACATGGGCATGTGAAAGACCTGCATACCTGAGTTCACTGGGATGCTCCAAGTAGGAGGGGTTTTTGTTTTAACTTTTGTGTTTTTGTAAGGAAATTTCAGAGGGTGAAGGTTAAGAAAAGGGTGAAGCGGCAGATGGGGAGTAGGGGGGAGAGGGTGCGTACATGGCAGGGGGCCAGCCCACGGGGCAGACTCAGCCCATCTTGTGGAGGCAGGTGGGGTCAAGGGCAAACAAGGGCAGATCACAGTCAGACATGGGAGCGGGGGGGGGGGGGAGAACGGGGAGCAGTACCGCCTCGATCTCCTTGTTCATCTCGTCTTTCAGGATCTTGTTCTCTTTGTCACAGCGCTCTAACTGGGCAGCCACCTCGTCGGCCTCCAACCTCGTCTTCATCACCTGCAAAGCCACAGCCCAGTGAGCCGCCTCGGGCAGGGCCGAGTCTGGGTGAGACCCGCCTTCGTGCCCCATCCTTCCCGGAGGGGCTGCGAGAGGCCTACCTGACTCTTATAGTTGTCAATCATCCCCTCGTAGTTCTTCACCGATGCCTTCAGCTGCTGGACCTCGATGTGTGCCTGGTTGAGCTTGTCCTCCATTGGGGCAAAGCTAGCCTGGAAGGGTGGCTCACATGTAACCAACAGCGGGTTCCGGCTCAGGCGGCCCTCCCTAAGCCAACCCTCTCCCAAGGAACCAGCCCTTACACACCACGAGGCTTCCCCAGAGGCACTGGGCTGACTCCTAACTGGGTACAGATGCTAATCACTGACTTCTGCGTAGTTGGGAAGCGTCTGTACGCATTCATGCACACGGAGCTCAGACCAAGCCACGCTAACCACACGTGGAAGGCCCGAGGAGGCCACACACCTACAGCTGCGTAGCATTTTCGTTCTTCTTGACAAGGATGGGGTTACACTTAGTGCTTCCAACAGACTTTTTACTTATTCAAAGGAGGGCAGAACATGCTTATGAAGTTATCAATGGCTTGTAAACACCTTCTCAGGTCAGCAGGTCCTCCTATAACTCAAGGCCTCACCTGAGCTGGGCAACACTAGTCATGGTGTCTCAACATGGTACAATGCACAGTTGTCACTTAAGACTTCAAGAGCTGACCTAAAGAGATGTCCATGGGGGCCAGTGCTGTGGCGTAGCAGGTAAAGCCACACCCACAGCACTGGCATCCCATATGGGCACCAGCTGGAGTCCTGGATGCTCCACTTCCGATCCAGCTCCCTGCTATGGCCTAGGATAGCAGTGGAAGATGGCCCAAGTCCTTGGGCCCCTGCACCCTCGTGGGAGACCCGGAAGAAGCTCCTAGCTCCTGGCTTTGGATCAGCTCAGCTCTGGCCGCTATGACCATTTGGGGAGTGAACCATCAAATGGAAGACTCCTTTCTCTCTCTCTGCCTCTGTGGAACTTTGCCTTTCAAACAAATAAAATAAATCTTTAAAAAAAAAAAAAAAAAAAAGCAAGCTGTCCATGGGGCTGGTACTGTAGCACAGCGGGTTAAAGTCCCAGCCTGACTACATGAAAACGCTCGACAGCGCCATGCGCTGCCATGGGGCAGCTGTCGCTCTCCCCTCGCCCGTGCAAGTGTGAAGGTGTGCATTACCTCAGTGTCTGCACACACCTGCCAGGACTCACTCAGGCACCTGCTCCCTGCTAATGGCACTGGGGAACAGCAGAAGGGCCCAGTGCTGAGTCCCTGCCACCCACGAGGGAGACCTGGATGGAGCTCCCGGCTCCTGGCTTCGGCGTGGCCCAGCCCTGGCTGGTGCAGCACTTTGGGGAGTGAACCAGCAAAAGGCCTCTCTGGCTCTCTCTGCCTTTGAAGTAAATAAAAATGTCTTTAAAAAGAAAACCACAAATATGCCCACAGCAGTATTATGGGAACAGCCCAGTGTGACGTAGAGGCTTCACGGCACAGCACTGAGAATGAGCTACACCACCACACAGCAGGACACCTGTCAACACCTGCTATGTGCATATCTACACAACTCCAGCTCAGAGATCACAAGGGGACTAATCCGTGACGCCTGGGGCTGGCACTGTGGTGCAGCAGGCTAAATTAGGCCTCCACCTGCAGTGCTGGCATCCCATGTGGGTGCTGGTTCCAGTCCCTCAGCCCCTGCTGCTCCACTTCCGATTTAGTTCCCTGCTAATGTGCCAAGGACCTGGCCCAAGTCCTTGGGCCCCTACACCCACGTGAGAGACATACACGGAGTCCAGGCTCCTCGCTTCAGCCTGGCCCAGCCACAGCAATTGTTACCATTCAAGGAGTGAACCAACAGATGGAAGGCCTCTCTCTGTCTGTCTCTCCTTCTCTATAACTGCCTTTCAAATAAATAAATAAATTTTTAAAAAAGAAATCAGGATAGTGATTACCTCTGCAGGGGCATTAGTAAGAGGGGGCTGTTAGGTTCAATCAAAAGTGATTGGGAGGCCAGTGCCGCGGCTCACTAGGCTAATCCTCCGCCTTGCGGCGCCAGCACACCGGGTTCTAGTCCCGGTCGGGGCACCGGATTCTGTCCCAGTTGCCCCTCTTCCAGGCCAGCTCTCTGCTGTGGCCAGGAAGTGCAGTGGAGGATGCCCCAAGTGCTTGGGCCCTGCACCCGCATGGGAGACCAGGAGAGGTACCTGGCTCCTGGCTTCGGATCAGCGCGGTGCGCCGGCCGCAGCGGCCATTAGGGGGTGAACCAACAGTAAAAAGGAAGACCTTTCTCTCTGTCTCTCTCTCTCACTGTCCACTCTGTAAACAAAACAAAAACAAAAACAAAACAAAACAAAAAAGTGATTGGGAGAGTCTGGCGCTGTGGCACAGTGGGTTAACACCCTGGCCTGAAGCACTGGTATCCCACATGGGCGCTGGTTCTAATCCTGGCTGCACCTCTTCCAATACAGCTCCCTGCTATGGCTTGGGAAAGCAGTAGAAATTGGCCCAGGTCCTTGGGCCCCTGCACCCACATGGGAGACTGGAAGAAGCTCCTGGCTTCGGATCAGTGCAGCTCCGGCCGTTGTGGCCATCTGGGGAGTGAACCATCAGATGAAGACCCCTCTTTCTCTCTCTCTCTTTCTCTCTGCCTCTCCTCTCTCTGTGTAACTCTGACTTTCAAATAAATAAATAAAAACCACCAACAACAACAAAAAAAAAGTGATTGGGAGGGTGAAAGGGCCAATGTTGTGGCTTGCAGGTTAAGCCGCCTCCTGCAATGCCAGCTTCCTAACTGCTCCTCTTCTGATCCAGGTCTCTGCTAAGGTGCCTGGGAAAGCAGTGGGAGTGGCCCAAGTGCCTGAGCCTCTGCACCCACATGGGAGATCCAGATAAAGTCCTGCTTCCTGGCTTCAGCCTGGCCCAGCCCTGGCCACTGCAGTCAACTGGTGAGTGAACCAGCAGGTGGAAGATCTCTCTTTCTCTGTAATTCTGCCTTTCAAATAAAATAAATCCTTAAAAGCAAAAAGGTTGGGGGAGGGGGGGCAGCGTTGTGGCACAGCCAGCAAACTGCCTGCAATGCTGGCATCCCATAATGGAGCACTGGTTTGAGTCCCGGCTGCTCTGCTTCCAGTCCAGCCCCCTGCTGATGCACCTGGGAGAGCAGCAGAAGACGCCCAGGTGCTGGGGTCCCTGTCACTCATGTGGGAGACCAGGATGGACTTCCTGCCTCTGGCTTTAGCCTGGCTCTAACCTGGCTGCTGTGGCCATCTGAGGAGTGAACCAGCAGATGGAAGATCTCTCTCTCTCTGTCTCTCCCTGTCACTCTGCCTTTCAAATAAACATTAAAAAAAAAAAAAAGTTATTGAGAGGGGCCATGGCTGTGGCGTAGCTGATTAAGCCACTGCCTACACAGCCGGCATCCCATATAAGCACCTGTTTGAGTCCCGGCTGCTCCACTTCAGATCCAGCTCCCTGCTAAAGCGCCTGGGAAGGCAGTAGAAGACGGCCCCAGTCCTTGGGCCCCTGCACTCATGGGGAAGACCCAGATGAACTCCCGGCTTCAGCCTGGCCCAATCCCACCCACTGCGGTCATTTGAACCATCAGATAAAAAGAAAGATATATCTGTCTCTCCTTATCTCTCTGTAACTCTGCCTTTCAAATAAATAAATATTTTTTAAAAAGACATTAAAAATAAATAAAAAGCCATTGAGAGACAAAGTGTATTCACTTTATGAAAATTGTAGGATATGTGAACTTTTTTAAACAACAAAAAACAAAATCATTGGCCCCGATCAATAAAAACATCAAGATCAAACCTGGCTCCGCAGTGACAACCTTGTCCAGTGCCTCTCCCTGTGCTGCGCTGTGAGGGTGCACAGGCAGACCGTAACAGCCAGGCCTCAAGAGTCAGACCCAGGTTCAAATCCCAATTCCAGCTCTTCCCTGGGCAAAATCTTGGCAGGAAACCTGGCCCCTCTGTCTCCCTCTCTGTAAACCTCAGCCTCCCTGCCCACTCTCTGTAAACCTCAGCCTCCCTGCTCCCTCTCTGTAAACCTCAGCCTCCCTGCCCACTCTCACAAAGACCTCATTTCTTCCAAGGAAACTGCAGCAACCTAAGACGAACCCAACTGTCTCGCCCAGGCCCAGCATCCAGGCCTTTCTGCCCAGAGGGCTGCCCAGCTTACCCGCACTTGGCCTCCAGGCCTCTGGAGAGCTCTGGCTCCTGCCTGCCCCGCCCCCTCCCCCAGCTGCCCAGGCCCTGGGTCCCGCTGCACACCTTCAGCCTCTCGTTCTCCAGCTTGAATGCGGAATACTCGGCCGTCTGACGGTGTAGTCTCTCCACCAAGCTGTCCCGGTCTTCCCGCATCTTCTCCTCCAAGGTTTGTTGTTGGTTTACAAGATCTGTCACCCGGCTGGAAGGGCGCAGCAAAGTGGAGAGAGACAGAATCAACTCCACAGGCTCCGAGGGGCCCGGGGCTTTGTGTGAAGGGGACCAAGTGCCCTACCCAGGCCAGCTCCCGCCTCCTGGCACGCTGCCTGCTTGCTGCCCCGCCCCCAAGCAGAGCAGCGCTGCACTGCCTGCCTTGTGCCATTGCTGCTGCGGCCTTCCCCACAATGTTCTTTTAAGATTTGTCTCCCATGGGGCAGGTGTGTGGAGTAGCAGGTTAACTTACCGCTTGGGGTCGCCCACATCCCATATCAGAGTGTCATTCTGTGCCCCGGCTACACACCGGGAGGCAGCAGATAAAAGCTCAAGCACTTGGGCCCCGGCCATGCATGTGGGAGACCCAGATGGAGTTCCAGGCTCCTGGCTTCAGCCTGGCCCAGCCCCAGCCATTGCAACCATTTGGGAAGTGAACCAGCAGATGGAAGACCGCTCTCTTTCTGAGTGTCTGTCTCTGTATTTTTCTTTTTTTTTTTTTTTTTTTTTTACAGGCAGGCAGAGTGGACAGTGAGAGAGAGAGACAGAGAGAAAGGTCTTCCTTTGCCATTGGTTCACCCTCCAATGGCCGCTGCGGCCAGCACACCACGCTGATCCGAAGGCAGGAGCCAGGTACTTCTCCTGGTCTCCCATGGGGTGCAGGGCCCAAGCACTTGGGCCATCCTCCACTGCCTTCCCGGGCCACAGCAGAGAGCTGTGCCTGGAAGAGGGGCAACCGGGACAGAATCCGGTGCCCCGACCAGGACTAGAACCCGGTGTGCCGGCGCCGCAAGGCGGAGGATTAGCCTAGTGAGCCGCGGCGCGGGCTCACTCTGCCTCTCAAACAGATGAAAATAAACAGACATTTAAAAAAAAAATCATCTCCCACACCACTCCCTCTAAGAAGCTGTTTATGGTAGCCTTAGGCGATGACTTGCTATGATGGGTGTGTCCATTCCAATCCTCCCCTGAGCCTGAGACACTCCCTGGAGACTTGGACCAGGGACAATGCATCTGGGAAAACGGTGGAAGGTGGCCAAAGTGCTTGGGCCACTGCCACCCATGTGGGAGACCTGGATGGAGTTCCAGGCTCCTGGCTTAAGTCTGGCCCAGCCGGGGCCATTATGGCCATCTGGGAAGTGAACCAGTAGATGAAACTTTGTTTCTTCCTCTCCCTCTCTATAACTCTGCCTTTCAAATAAATAAATAAATCCTTAAACAAACAAACAAACCAGTTGCCATCACTGGGCAGACAACCAAGAGAAGACACAGGGACCGCCAGCTGCCCCATTCTCTAAGCAGAGGAATGAGGGGACCAGCGTACAGGGGCCAGGCCCAGCCTCTGTGACCACAAACACGGGGCCCCTCCAGGCACCTGCCAGTGTTAGGACCTCACTTCCAACCAGGGAGCCCAGCTGACCCCACGTCTCAGTCCAGGGCAGCCCCTGACTGGGAGAGACCGTGGCACCGTCAGGAGCACGTGGCCTGCCTCGAGTGGCCAGGCCCCTCCACTCGCACACCCAAGTCCCTCAGTGGGCTCCCTTCCGAACGCGAGGACGTACTCGTTCAGGACAATAATTTCCAGCTCGAGGTCTCCCTTGTCTTTCACCACCTGGTTGTAGCGGCTCCTCCACGACTCCAGAGTAGATAAAGCTTCAGCAACATAAAGATCCTGGGAACGAGGGACGGCGGACGGCGGCCGTCAGTCTGGTGCCTGCCCAGGCTGCAGGGGCCGGGCCAGGGCGCTCCTCAGCTCCTCGCTCTGGCAGCCTGAACCTCACTCCATGTCGCCTCCCTGGAGAAGGCCAGGAGCCACAGGGAGGCCAGCTGTGCTCCGACTGCCAGCAGATCCTCCGGAGCCATCGTCCTCGCCCACAGTGTGGATGCAGCTACGCAGTCCACAGACCCCCACTCATCTCCAGCTGCCCACCTCCCCGCCCCCAGCCGGCCACCTTCCCAGCCGCTCACACCTCTGGCCATCAATCATCCTCCCCGCCCCGCCCCCTCGGCCGCCTGCCCGCCACCTTGTCGGCGAGTTGCACGTGCAGCTGCTCGGCGTATTCCTCGCTCTTCTCGGCCCGCTCCTTCTGGGCCCGGATGGCCTTCTTCAGGGCTTCCTTGTCGCGGTCTCCCTTCTGCTTCAGCTCCTTCAGCTGCTCCATGATGGCTTCCACTTCTGCCTTGTGCTGGTTCCCACTTCGTTCCAGGTTCTGGGCAGCGGGAGGAGAGGGAGGGCGGAGGCAGGCAAAGCAGGGGGAGGGGAGGTCAGGGGAAAGGGGAGCCAAACAGGGCATGAAGGCCGTGAGGCTCTGGGCTCCCCTGGGTAGGCCAGAGCGCCCACAGACCCTCCTGGATCTCCCAGCCCTTCAGGTCTTGATGTGGGACATAACTCCTCTGGAATCCCTCCCGACATCCAGGCCCTCTCCGTCGCTCAGAGCTGGGAGCATGTGAGAATTCCCCATTCTCAGTTACACTGAGGGCCAGGGCACGGCACCCAACCTGTCACCGCTGCAGGCTTCTCTGCTCACTGCCCTCGCCACTGTCCCAGAGTCTGGCAAAAGCCTCGGGGCTTCGGCGGCAGCAGCTGACCCAAGCGGCACCCCTGGGGCCAGGCCTGCCTCCCCCAGCCCCCCTGTGGGCCAGCAGCTACCTTGATCCCCTGGGGCCAGGCCTGCCTCCCCCAACCCTCCTGTGGGCCAGCAGCTACCTTGATCTGCATGCACAGGCGGCTGTTCTCGGCCTCCTTGCACCGAAGCTGCGCCTGCAAATGCCCACGCATGGACTCCATGGACTTGGAAAGCTCAGACGCTGTCTTTGCTTGAGCCTTGGGAGAGACGGGAGAAGTGAGGGAGCCGGGTGGTGGAGCCAGCTCTCTGCAGACCCACCACGCCCCACCAGCTCGCGCAGAGGCACGCGCGCTGGGGACGGCACCTTCTCACACTGTATCTCCTGCAGGAGCTCTTCCACCTCCTTGTCCTTGTCTTGCAGCATTAACAGCAGGCGCTGGGAGAGAAGGCACACTGTCACGCGCACGCACACTGTCTCGCGCCCCTGGGAGGCAAAGAGGCCCAGCCCGGGAAGAGAAGCTCCTCACGTCTTGGCCCTTGGAGCCCGTGGTCCCAGACACACTGGTTCCGCATCAGGGAGAGGTAGGAAGCACTCCACTTATGTATTTAAAATTTTTCTTAAACACTGAACATGTATTTATTTTGCAATTTTTAAAAGGTAATATTAATGTAGAAAACTTTAACAACCAAAAATCTCTAAAGAATCACCAAAACCCACTGTGTCTGTACGCTAAGTCCCAAGTCTGCTGTTCTGTAACTGCAAGCTCACATGTGCCACCCCGTGATCAAGCCTCGCACACTCCTGAAACAGGCACTCACGTCTCAAGTTACTGATGCGTGCCATCAGGGAGCCTCTGGAGCTGGGGATGCGGTTTGGGCAGGCTCAGCACAACTGCCGAAGCTCCACCCCTTCCTAGTGACTCAGCTGGGCCTCAAGGCCAACGCCACATGAGGAGAACTGGGCCTGCACCTCCTTCCCTCTCCTGGAGACCCACCGAGGGCATCAGCCTTCAAAGCTCCAGCAGTCTCGGAGTTAAGAAGCCTGCTTGTTCCAGCCGCCGAGAGTTTCCCAGATTTATCCGGACAGAGAACCAAGCCCTTATCATTTCTCCCCCCATTTTCATCTTGAGGAAAGAAAGAGTCCATGTAACAGACTGGAATGTGCTGTAAAAGTCTAGAATTGGAACCGTTAAGTAGAAAAGCATCTACTTTTTGAAGGCTGTGAATCCCTAATACAAATAGGGGACGTGGGATCCCAGGCCCTGGTGATTTGTAAATGCATCGTGGTACAGCAGGTGGACAAGCACCAGGGCCCCCACACTGCTGGCCAGCCTTGGGCCTCGAGCTTCCAGGCGGCTAACCACAGCCCCGAGGAGCAGGCAAGACCAGAGACTTCAGTTCCCGTGCCCGTCAGGACACTAAGACCAGAGCAAAGCCAGAGCAGGGCTCCCCCTCCGGCCCGGATTCGGCACCGAGCCCTCTGGCTACTGCGCCCGCGAGGCCTGCCGGGGTGCTGCAGTTACCGCTTTCTCGGAGTCGGCCTCCGCCAGCCGCTTCAGCAGTGCTCCTTGTTGCTCCATTAGTCTTTCGGAATCCTTGGAGGAAAGGAGAGGGAGAGAGAGCCGGGTCATCGAGCAACAACCCAGACGTCCACAACCCACGGTTCTCCAAACACCTCTGCCAATGTTAGAATAAGAAATCAGCGAACACCAAGAAAGCCTAGGTCCCGCCCACACCCCCCGAGCCCTCTCCCGTAGCTAGTCTGACCGGGCCCTGGCAGCCCCTGCTCTGTGCCCTCGCACATCGCTGCGCCCGGAGTGCACCCTCCGGCTTCACAGGACGGGAAAGACACAGGGAATTTCACAAAAATGACATCACACTGCATTCCATAAAAATGACATCACACTGCATTCCATAAAAATGACATCACACTGCATTCTACAAAGATGACATCACACTGCATTCACATGCTGCAACTTAATTTTTAAAAACCAATCTGATGAGGGCCACTGCTGTGGCGTAGCGGCTTGCAATGCCGGGCCGGCATCCCATATGGGTGCCAGTTCAAGTCCTGGTGCTCCTCTTCTGATTCAGCTCCCTGCTAACGCACCTGGGAAAGCAGTGGAGCTGGCCCAAGTGCTTTGGCCCTTGCACCCATGTGGGAGACTGGGATGAAGCTCCTGGCTCCTGGCTTTGGCCCAGCTCAGCCCTGGCTGTTGAGGCCATTTGGGGAGTGAACCAGTGGATGGAATATCTGTCTCTCTCTCTCCCTCCCTCTCTAATTCTGCCTTTCAAGTAAAATAAATAGATCTTTTAAAATAGAAAAAAAACAGTCTTATGGAGATAAAAACATGGATGCCATACAGTCCAGCCATTTAAGGTGTACAATGCAGTGACTATAGTTAATAACACTCTTGTACACTTGAAATTCACTAAGGGGATCTTTAGAGTTCTCATCACACACCAAAAAAGTAATTCTGCAAGATAATGGATATTAATTAGCTTGACTGTATCTGCACATCAAGTCATCTTGTTGAACACCTTAAACATACATAATTTATATTTGTCAGCTATGCCTCAATAAAGCTGAAAACAGCAATGGCTTTTGGTATATTAATTTTTTTAAACTGTAGTAAAATAAATATAATGTAAAACTTGCTATTATAATTACTTTTTTTAAAAAAAGATTTTGATTTATTTATTAGAGAGATAGAGCTACAGACAGAGAGAGGGACAGAGAGGGAGAGAGGTCTTCCATCTGCTGGTTCACTCCCCAGGTGGCCACAATGGCTAGAGCTGAGCCCATCTGAAGCCAGGAGCCAGGAGCTTCTTCTGGGTCTCCCATGCAGGTGCTGGGGCCCAGGCACTTGGGCCATCCTCCACTGCTTTCCCAGGCTACAGCAGAGAGCTGGATTGGAAGTGGAGCAGCTGGGACATGAACTAGTGCCTATATGGGATGCCAACACTGCAGATGGAAGCTTAACCCACTATGCCACAGTGCCAGTCTATTATAATTACTTTTAATTGTGAAATTCAGTGGCATTTAGCACATTTACGCTACTACACAGCCACCACCTCTATCTAGTCCAGAACGTTTTCATGCCACAAAGAGCAACGCTGCACGTACTCAGCAGCCATCCCCTGATGCTGACCTGGACTCCATGGCCCTGAAAGGGTGGTGTGTGGGGTCCTAAGTGCCAGGGGGCACCGGGGACACGAGCCTGGACTGAACAACGTCTGTTCTGGGTAAGAGTTCAAATTATTCGACCCTTCATCTCCCATTAGAGGTGGGCTCCAGGATAGTAACAGACGCTAAGGAGCCAAAAAGGAGAAACACTGGGTAGAGCAAGGTTTCTGAAGGTATCAGTTTCAAGACAAACCACAGCAGTGCCCCCATCTCCCAGCACCTGTTAGGTACCAGGATGCACACCCCTGTCCATGCCTCCTCTCTAATCCTGACGAAACCCGTGTGCATGCTATGAAGCCCATTTTATAGGTGGGAAAGCTAAGGCTTAGAGATAAGAATCACCCACTTGGCAATCACCAAGCCAGAAACGAAACAGGCACGAGTGTTTCAGAGAAGAATCTGACCCTAAGCGGTAAAAGTGACACAAGCATATCCGAGAAATTCTCAGGGTCACCAGGACAGCACACGGATGCGTAGACACCAAGCAACTGAAAACGTAAGTGTCAACAACGGAACAACAGACCAATTGCAGCATACTGTAAAGTGAAATACAGCAGTGAAAATTCATAACCTTAGACCTTAACAGGGTAAACATGATGCAGAGTGAGCAAAGCAAACTCCGAAGAACATATATGCTTACGGACAGTGCAGTGGGTTAGGCCACTACCTACCATGCCAGCATCCCATAAGGGCGCCGGTTCTAGCCCCAGCTGCTCCTCTTCCAATCCAGCTCTCTGCTATGGCCTGGGAAGGCAGCAGAAGATGGCCCAAGTCCTTGGGCCCCTGTGACACTTGCTGGAGACCAGGATGGAGTTCCAGGCTCCTGGCTTTGACCTGACCCAGCCCTGGCTGTTGTGGCCATTTGGGGAGTGAAATCAGTAGATGGAAGATCGCTCTCCATCTCTCCCTTTAACTCTTTCAAATAAATAAATAAATCTTTTAAAAAAAAGAACACATATGGAAAAATCATCACTTACATAAAAAGGTTTAAAAATTTGCCAAACAATGTATGTGTCACTTGGGGTACACACGTGTGATTAAATCTACCACATTCAAGATAAAGGTTCACTGTGAGTGGAGCGAAATGAGGGATTTAACTGCATGGACAACATTTTATTTTGCAAATTAGGCCACAAGCCTGCCACTTTATATATTGCTACATCTTTATTTACTTATTTTTATTTCATTTGAGATGTAGAGAGACAGAAAGAGATCTTCCATCAGCTGGTTCATTCCTCAAATGCCCACAACAGCCAGGAATCTGGAACTCCATCCAGGTCTCCCATGTAGATGGCAGGGACCCAAGAACTTGAGCCAACCTGCACTGCCTCTCAGGGTGTGAATTAGCAGGAAGCTGGACTAGAAGCGGAGTAGCTGGGACTCAAACCAGGCACGCCGATACAGGATGCAGGCAACCCACGCAGGGACTTAACTGCTGCGCCAAATGCTAGCTCCTATACACTCTTTTCTTTTTTAAAAATTATTTCATTTATTCAAAAGGCAGAGTTACGGAGAAAGGGACAGAGACCTTCCATCTGCTGGTTCACTCCCTAGATGGCTGCAATGAACAGGGCCGAGCCAGGCTGAAGCCAGGAGCCAGGAGCTTCACCCAGGTCTCCATGTGGGTGCAGGAGCCCAAGCACTTGGGCCACCTTCTGCTGCTTTCTCAGGTGCATTATCAAAGAGCTGGATCAGAAGTGGAGCAGCCAGGACCCGAACCAGCACCCATACGGGATGCTGGCACTGCAGGTGGACCTTAACCCATTATGCCACAACTCCAGCCCCTGCTCCCATACATTCTGTGTTAATTTATTAAAATAAAAATTAAGATTGGCAATGTTTTTTTAAAAAAATAAAGAATGCTAAAGTGAAATAAAAGTCATTTCATGGAAGTCGGCATTTTGAGACCCTTGGCACCCTCTCACTGTGAGCAACGGGAAGGCGCTGTGTACACCATCATCTCCGCAGAGATGTTCACCAACATAGCATTATGTGGGATGTGCTGCACGGAATCCAGCCACGTGGCCACCAGCATGTGGGTGTGCGAGGAAGTCACAGACGCGCACACTATGGAGTACTACTCAGCCGTAAAAAGGGAGAGGGGCCAGCGCTGTGGCATAGTGCGTAAAGCCACTGCCTGCTGTGCCAGTACCCATATGGGCACCAGTTCAAGTCCCGGCTGCTCCACTTCCCATCCAGCTCTCTGCTGTGGCCTAAGAAAGCTGTGGAAAATGGCCCACGTCCTTAGGCCCCTGCACCCACGTGGGAGACCTGGAGGAAGCTCCTGGCTCCTGCCTTTGGATCGGCGCAGCTCTGACCCACTTGCGGCCATCTGGGGAGTGAACCAGTGGATGGAAGACTTCTCTCTCTCTCTCTCTGCCTCTGCCCCTCTGTAACTCTGCCTTTCAAAGAAATAAATAAATATTTATAAAATAAATAAATAAAAATAAAAAGGGGGAAAACCCTGTTGTGCTTGACTGCGTGGACGGGCCTGGAGGACATTATGCTAAGTGAAATAAGAGAGGCCCAGCAGAGGGCGAATCCTGAACAACCTCACTGGCTGGGACCTACAGAGGCTGCCAGGGCACCAGGAGCTGAGTGGTGCTGGTCCCAGAGACCTACTTACAACAAAGCGACTGGGGCTAACACTGACGTCATATACTTGAAAAGGCCCAAGAGGCTGGTTAGTCATTCTCACCACTAATAAATGAGCATGCAAGCACTACGTATGTTAATTAGCTCGCGCAGCCATTCCACAATGCACATACACACTGCAAACATCACGTTGTACACGATAGATAAATGGTTTCTACTTGGCAACTTAAAATAATGAAAAGACAAATGTAAAAAAGGTATTCACAACATGTCTCAGAGAATACTGATCTTTCTACTTTTTCTAATTCTATTTATTTGAAAGGGAGAGAGACAGAGAGACAGAGACAGACAGAGAGAAAGAAGACCGCCCATCTACCAGTTTGCTCCTTAAATGCCGACAACAGGTGGGGCGGGGTGGGGCCAGGCCAGGCCGATGTCAGAGGACAGAAGCTCACTCCAGGTCTCCCAGTGGGTGGCAGGGACCCCATTACCTGAGCCACCCTCCTCCGCCTGCTATCTCCCATGACGCACATTAGCAAGAGGCCAGAACTGGAAGCTGAGTGGGCATGCAAACCCAGGCACTTCAACGTGGGCTGAGAACATCCCGAGCAGTACCTAATCGCCGCCCCAGATACTCACCCCGAGAACATCTTTTAAAAGCACAAAGTGATACCACATAATTTGTGCCTGCCGACGACTAATTATTCTCCTGTCTCACAAAACCCCAGGCCTGGCTCTCTTCCCCACGCACCACGACCCCTGCAATGGGCTGAACGCCCCCTACTGCCCACTCTCCTCCTGACCCCAGGGTCTCTCCTGTGCACCTGGCCCAGCTTCAACAACCAAGACGGCACCCGTCTACTATTCCGTTAACCCTGCGGCCCGCTCTGGTCGGGCACCCGCGGCGCCGCCTGCCCGCAGACAGGGTGGCGGCCCGAGCCCGAGGCCCGGCCCAGCCTGGGGTCACCTCTTTGCAGTGCTGCTCCCTCAGCAGGTCTCGGAGGGTGCGGTTGGTCTCCTCAAACGTGCTCAGCTTCTGCAGCAGAAGCTCCTTTTGCCTCGTGAGGGTGTTGATGTCCGTGCAAGTCATCTGTTTTTCCTGGAAGGCAAGCAGGCAGCCTTAGGTGCGGGGAGAGAGAAGAGGCAGGCCCCACAGCGGGGTCCAGAGGTGCTGGTGCCAGGAAGCCCCGGCAAAGACAGCCGGCTCCGGTCGGGGCCCAGGTGGTCAAGGGCAGGCTTCCCGGAGGAGGCAGACTGCAGGGACGGGCTCCGGTCGGGGCCCAGGTGGTCAAGGGCAGGCTTCCCGGAGGAGGCAGACTGCAGGGACGGGCAGGAGGCTCAGTGTGGTTGAGGACAGTCAGGCAGGCTCCCTGGAAGAGGCGAGGACAGCGGCATCTGGCGGCTGATACTTGCAGGAACCAGACACAGGCCTCGACTACTGTGACTGCGAGTGACCCATGGTGAGGTCTCCTGGAGGCCCTGGCCCCCACAGTCAGCTGCCAAGGTGAAGGCCCCCTCCCCGTGCAAATGAGAGTGGGGGAGGGGCGGGAGCTGAACAGTTGGGCTTGCCCTCCCCCGAGCCTGGGCATGTCATAAAGTCAGCTGGTGACTGCGTAAAGACCCCACCCCACCCCAGGGCCGGGGTGGCTCTGCCCGCCTACCGTTTTCAGCTTTCCGATGGTGTCCTTCAGGGCCATGACTTGCTTGGCGGCCGCGGCTCCGTCCATTTCCGCCTCGACCAGCTTGGACATGAGGCACTCCTTCTCCTGTTGCAGGTGTTTCTTCTGAAGCCTGGGGCCACAAGGACAGGGTCCGTGAGCCCCCGTGAGCCCCCCGGCCCTGCCCGCCAGAGCTCACAATGGGCTCCGTGAGCCCCCAGGCCCTGCCCGCCCAGAGCTCTGAGGCTGCCTCACAATGCCCTGAGAGGCTGCCCCTTGTCAGGGAACAATGGGTGGGGGCGGGGATGCTCCTCTGGGAGGGGCACCAGACCAGGGCCCCCGCTCCAGGTGACACGATGCCACCTGGGCCTTGCTCCTCTCCCAGACAGCCACTGTGGTCACCACCCGTCTGCTCGGGCCATTCCCCTGCTTTTAAAACCCTCTGGCCGGCGCTGCGGCTCAATAGGCTAATCCTCCACCTAGCGGCGCCGGCACACCGGGTTCTAATCCCGGTCGGGGCGCCGGATTCTGTCCCGGTTGCCCCTCTTCCAGGCCAGCCCTCTGCTGTGGCCAGGGAGTGCAGTGGAGGATGGCCCAGGTGCTTGGGCCCTGCACCCCATGGGAGACCAGGAAAAGCACCTGGCTCCTGGCTCCTGCCATCGGATCAGCGCGGTGCGCCGGCCGCAGCGCGCCGGCCGCGGCGGCCATTGGAGGGTGAACCAACGGCAAAGGAAGACCTTTCTCTCTGTCTCTCTCTCTCACTGTCCACTCTGCCTGTCAAAATAAAATAAAAAAAAATAAAAAAATAAAAAAAATAAAAAAAAAACCCTCCTTGGCTCCCAACTACCTTCAAAGTGCACCCCAGATGCTCAAAGTGGCTGCTAGAGGCAGACCCCGGACCACCTCGGGGCACCTCTCGCCTCTGCCCGTCGGCTCTGGCCTGCTCTCCACTCTTCAGTGGCAAACGCCTCCCCCACGGACGTCCCTGCCGTCTGGCTTTCCTTCCTGACACCCACCATCCCCAGAGCTCCCCCCACAGTGTGAACCACAAGGGCCACAGGCGGTGAACACGGGACGGGGTGAACAGGAGCAGAGCCTGCCCCTCGGCGGCTCGGGCGGCTCGGGCGCCCTGGCGGGGCGGGGCGGGGCGGGGCGGCTCGGGCGCCCTGGCGGGGAGGGGCGGGGCGGCGGCGGGGCGGGGCGGGGCGGGGCGGGGCGGGGCGGGCGTACACGGTGAAGTCCTTCTCCTCCTTGATGCGCTCGATGTTGTGCCTCAGCAGGTTGTTCTCGTGCTCCGTCTCGGCCAGCTCGTGCGCCACCTCCTCCAGCTCCTCCTTCCGCTCCTCCAGGAACCGCTTGGCCATCTGGCGCTCCCCCTTCTGCATCTTGACCTGCACAAGGGCACCCACGCAAGGGCCGCTGAGGGAGACTCCTCTCTGCCGCAGTGCTGGGCCCAGAGCTATGGAGCCCCCACCCCCCGCCCGAGAGCCAGAGACCCCGAGCCAGGCAGTCTCGAGTGACCGTCACAGCTTGAGTCTCCCCGTTCTGTAGACGAGGAGACGGAGCAGAAAGAGCCTGAGTGACTCACTGGTTGGGGATGGAGCCCAGCTGCACACCATGGTTCGGTGGACACACCATGGGAGAGGTGGGGCAGGAGGGCCCGGCGCCAGGCAGCCAGCCCCAGGCTCTCCGGGGCACCCTGGACCCCCAGGACAGGGTGGAGGGTTAAAGACACTGTGAAGTCACATTAGCAGCCAGCACCTGGACTTGAACACCCACTTCCTGGGTGGGGACCTTAGACTGGCAGGCTCGGTTTCCAATCCCATTGCCACATCCCACCCGAGACACGCTCAGCAGTGAGCCCTAAGGTCCTTCGCCTCTACTGAGCTTCTGTGTAAAACGGAACACGTGGGCCCGCTGCCCAGTCGACGCGCCTCTGTAACGGGGACACTAATGCCACCAGTTTCCGTCAGAAAGGCCTGCCAAGCAGAGCAGGGGGCAGGTCATACGCAGAGAGGACCCTTGGCAGCCAGAGCAAGCCAGCTACCTCCCGGGAGCACCGGGGGAGCTGGGCAGCCCCGGGGAAGGCTCCACCAGCAATGCGCCTGGACCGAATGGTACATTGTCGGGGCACCAGAGGTCCAGCCCCCACCTCCCTCACCTCCGACTTGAGACAACCAACCGCGTTCATTAGACTGTCAATCTTCTTATCGTAATGGTTCATTTTACAGTGACCCGAGTCGTCATCCTCTGTAGAGAGGTCACTTAGCCGCATCACTGACACCAGCTTTTCTGACGACGGTGGCGTGATCTCCAGGCAGTGAGGTGGGTTCTGACGTCAGGGAGGGAGAGACACGTAAGCTCCTGAGGCAGCACCTCACGCAGCAGCGCACTGCCATGCCAGGCTGGCTTCCCGGAACAGCGCAACGGCCACCCCCAGGCCCCAGGGGAGGAGCACCACCCCTCCCGGAGCACTGCCTACCCGTGCACGCTTAAAGTTGTCTGCAAAGAATTTCTGACTCCGAGAGGAGACGTTCTAACTCAGTTACAACGTCAAGTTTTCAATAAAGAACATAACAAACTGACAAAAGCATTGACGCCCACAGCTGGCAGAAGCTTGGGGCATTATCTGCTTTCTCACGCCCAGAGAAGAAAGGAAGTTTGTCCAAAGGGTCTTAAATGAACATGAACGCTGGGGCTGGCGTCGGGGCGCAGGAGGTTAAGCTGCCGCCTGTGATAGCGGCATCCCACATGAGCACCCGCTTCCAGTCCTGGCTGCTGCACCTACGATCCAGCTCTCTGCCAACGCACTGGGAAAGCAGCAGAGGCTGGCCCAAGCCCCGCCACCCACAGGGAGACCCAGATGCAGTTCCAGGCTCCTGGCGTCGGCCTGGCCCAGTCCCAGATGTTGCGGCCATTTGGGGAATGAAACACAGGACGGCCTCTCTGTCTCCCTGTCTCTCTGTAACTCTGCCTTTCAAATACATGAGTCTTTTTCTTTTTTTTTTTGTTTTTTTTTTTTTTTTGTTTTTTTTTTGACAGGCAGAGTGGACAGTGAGAGAGAGAGACAGAGAGAAAGGTCTTCCTTTGCCGTTGGTTCACCCTCCAATGGCCGCCGCGGCTGGCGCACTGCGGCCGGCGCACCGCGCTGATCCGATGGCAGGAGCCAGGAGCCAGGTGCTTTTCCTGGTCTCCCATGGGGTGCAGGGCCCAAGCACCTGGGCCATCCTCCACTGCACTCCCGGGCCACAGCAGAGGGCTGGCCTAGAAGAGGGGCAACCGGGACAGAATCCGGTGCCCCAACCGGGACTAGAACCCGGTGTGCCGGCGCCGCTAGGCGGAGGATTAGCCTAGTGAGCCGCGGCGCTGGCCCCAAATACATGAGTCTTTAAAAAAAAAATGAATGCATGAGAGTAGATCAGTTAAGGGAGTAAATAAAATTGCTCAAAAAGGTACTTCAGAGACGCACAGGGAAATCTGAAAATCAGATAAATGATGTTAAGAAATGAAGTCCTGGGGCCAGTGTCAGTGTTGTGAGGCAGCAGGGTGAGTGACCACATGAGCGCCGGTTCAAGCCTCAGCTGCTCCATTTCTGATCCAGTTAGTTCCAGTTAGCACATGGGAAAACAGCACAAGATTGCCAGAGTGCCTGGGCCCCTGCCACCCATGTGGGGGACCTGGATGGAGCTGTAGGCTCCTGGCTTCGGCCCGGCCCAGCACTGGCCTGCTGGAGCCATCTGGGAAGTGAACCAGCAGAAGGAAGGTCCCTTTCTCTTTGTCCCACTGTCTCTGTAACTCTGCTTTTCATAGAAATAAAATGAATCTTTTTTTTTAAAAAAAAGAGATAAAGTTCTTAGGACTAATCATTGTCATATAGAAAAATACTAGAAATAGTATTAGAAATGTACGTGAAGTAAACAAATGGATTAAGTTTTTCAAAATTGCAAAGAAAAATGCTCATGATGTGATATCTTGAAAATAGTTTCAAAAATATATCAGCAGGCCAGCGGCTCACCAGGCTAATCCTCCACCTTGCGGCACCTGCACACCGGGTTCTAGTCCCGGTCGGGGCACCGGATTCTGTCCCGGTTGCCCCTCTTCCAGGCCAGCTCTCTGCTGTGGCCAGAGAGTGCAGTGGAGGATGACCCAAGTACTTGGACCCTGCACCCCATGGGAGACCAGGATAAGTACCTGGTTCCTGCCATCGGATCAGTGCGGTGCGCCAGCCACGGCAGCCATTGGAGGGTGAACCAACGGCAAAGGAAGACCTTTCTCTCTGTCTCTCTCTCTCACTGTCCACTCTGCCTGTCAAAAATAAATAAATAAATAAATAAAAATGAAAAAAAAAATATCAGCAAGCGGTTGGCGCTGCGGCATGGTGGGTAAAGCCGCCACCTGCAGTGCCTGCATCCCAGATGGGCATCAGTTCAAGACCTGGCTGCTCCACTTCCCAATCAGCTCTCTGCTGTGGCCTGGGAAAGCAGTGGAAGATGACCCAAGCACTTGGGCCCCTGCACCCACGTGGGAGACCTGGAAGAAGCTCCTGGCTCCTGGCTTTGAATCGGATCATCTCAGCTCCAGCCATTGTGACTATTTGGGGAATGAACCAGCAGATGGAAGACCTTTCTTTCTCTCTCTCTCTCTCTCTCTCTCTCTCTCTGCCTCTGCATAGCTGTCTTTCAAATAAATAAGTAAATCTTTAATCTAGGGATACATATATATATATATATATATACATATATATCAGCAAAGTTTTTTTTTAAATGTACAAGGGTGGGCACCATGGTACGACAGGTGAAGCTGCTGCTTGGGAGGCCGCATCCCACACTGGGGCGCCTACTGTGAGCCCCACCCACTCTGCACTTCCAATCCAGCTTCCAGCTAAAGCGCCTGGGATGCAGTGGGGGACGGACCAAGTGCCGGGGTCCCTGCCACCCGTGTGAGAGAGACAAATGGAGTTCCAGGTTCCTGGCTTCAACTTGGTCTATCCTGAAGTTGTGGGTATTTGGGGAGCGAACCAACAGATGAAAGATCTCTCCAATCTCTCTGTCACTCTGCCTTTGAAATAAATAAATCTTACCCCCAAAATGCACAAATATTTTAGAAAAGTTCAGGCAAAGCTACATAACACTTTACTTCTTTTTTAAAAGAATATTTATTTATTTATTTGAAAGGTAGAATTACAGACACAGAGAGGGAGAGGGAGAGAGAAAGGTCTTCCAATCACTGGTTCACTCCCCAAATGGCTAAAATGGCCAGAGCTGAGCCAATCCAAAGCCAGGAGCCAGGAGCTTCCTCTGGATCTCCTACACGGGTGCAGGGGTCCAAGCACTTGGGCCATTTTCTACTGCTTTCCCAGGCCACAGCGGAGAGCTGGATCAGAAGAAGAGCAGCCGAGACTAGAACTGGCACCCAGATGGGAGGCCGGCACTGCAGGTGGAGGCTCAGCCCACAATGACACAGTGCCGGCGCCATTAACACTTTAAGACTCCAGAAAGAGGGCTGGCACTGTGTCACAGTGGGGTAAAGCCACTGCCTGCAATGCTGGCATCCCACCTGGGTGCCACTTCATGCCCCAGCTGCTCCATTTCCAATCCGGTTCCCTGCTAATGGCCTGAGAAAAGCAGCAGCAGATGCCCCAAGTGCTTGGGCCCCTGCCACCCAGGCCCAGCATTGGCTGTTACGGCCATTCTGGGGAGTAAATGAATGGATGGAAGATCCATCTCTCTCTCTAGTGCTTGTGCCCGGCTCCCCATGGGAAACCAAAAAAAACACCTGGCTCCTGCAAAAAAATCAGCGCGGTGGGGTCTATAATCTAGGGGTGCTGTGGCAGTGGAGTAGGCTCCCATTTGGGACACCCACAGCCCATACCAGAGTGCCCATTTGAGTCCCGGCTGTTCCACTTCTGATCCAGCTCCCTGCTAATGTCCAGGGAAAGCAATGGAAGATGGCCCGAGTCCTTCTGGGACCTATGTGGGAGGCCTGGAAGAAACTCCTATAGGACTCCTGACTTCAGACCAGTCCAGCTGTGGCCACTCTAGCTGTTGTAACCATTTGGGGAATGGACCAGTGGTTGGAAGGTCTCTCTCCCTCTCTCCCTCTCTCTGCAACTCTGCCTTTCAAATAAAATAAACAAATACTTTAAAAAAAAAAAAGTTTTCATGGAAGCATCTCTTCGCTGAGAAAGCTACCAGTATTTTCACTTGTTTAAAAGGTATTTTATTTGCAAAATATACTCATAATATGCATATTACAAAGAAATTCAAACAGGCCATAAAAAAAAAAAAAAAACATTATGGGGCCAGCACTGTGGCATAGTGGGTAAAGCAGCCAGCTATGGTGCCAGCATCCCATGTGGGTGCGGGTTCAAGTCCCAGCTGCTCCATTTCCGATCCAGCTCTCTGCTGTGGCCTGGGAAAGCAGTAGAAGATGGCCCAAGTGCCTGGGTCCCTGCACCCACATGGGAGACCCAGAAGAGGCTCCTGGCTCCTGGCTTCGGATTGGCCCAGCTCCACCTGTTGTGGCCGTTTGGGGAGTGAACCAGCGGATGGAAGTCCTTTCTCTCTGTCTCTCCCTCTCACTGTTTGTAACTCTGTCAAATAAATAAATAAATAAAATCTTAAAAAAAAAAAAAGGCAGCAGCAGCAGCCACTGGGGATGCCCACATTCCATGTCGGAGTGCAGGGTTCCAGCTTCCTGCTACTGCACACCCTGGAGGGTAGCAGGTGACGGCTCAAGAGATGCCCCCCCACAGGAGACCCAGACTGAGTTCCTCGCTTCCTGCCCTTGGCCGGGCCCAGCCTGGGCTACTGGTGGACATGCAGGAACTGAACAAGCAGATGGGTGATCTCCACCTCTTTTTCAAATCAAACAAATAAATGGAAATTTAAAAATAAGAAAACATTAAAGCCAGCGCCACGGCTCACTAGGCTAATCCTCCACCTTGCGGTGCCAGCACACCAGGTTCTAGTCCCGGTTGGGGCGCCGGATTCTGTCCCGGTTGCCCCTCTTCCAGGCCAGCTCTCTGCTGTGGCCAGGGAGTGCGGTGGAGGATGGCCCAAGTGCTTGGGCCCTGCACCCCATGGGAGACCAGGAGAAGCACCTGGCTCCTGCCATCAGATCAGCGCGGTGCGCCAGCCACAGTGGCCATTGGAGGGTGAACCAACAGCAAAGGAAGACCTTTCTCTCTGTCTCTCTCTCTCACTGTCCACTCTGCCTGTCAAAAAATAAATAAATAAAAACTAAAAAAAAAAAAGACAGAAAAGAAAACATAAAGTCTGTCATATTCCAGAGTTAATCATTGCTTACCACTTCCTACACATTCTCCCTCCAAAAATGCTATGCATGTGGACAGCATTGTGGTGTGGTGGATTAAGCTCTGCCTGCTAGGCCAGCATCTCACATAAGCACCGGTTCGAATACTGGCCCCTCCGCTTCTAATCCAGCTCCCTGCTAATGCTCCTGGGAAAGCAGGAGAAGATGGTCCAAGTGCTTGGACCCTGCCACCCATGTGGGAGACCCAAAGGGAGTTCCTGGTTCCTGGCTTCAACCTGGCTCGGTCCTGACCGCTGGGGACATTTGGGGAGAGAACCAGCAGATGGAAGACCTCTCCCTCTTTCCCTGTTACTCTGCCTTGCAAATACGTAAATAAATCTTTAAAAAAAAAAAACTAAAAAGTTAAACAGATATGAACACAATGCACAGAAACACAGATAACAGCGACACCCGTTTTATGTACAAACAGGGCCAAACTCTACAGTCGTGCATCTTCGTGCTTCACTGGATATAAATGTCTGCCTCAATCTGAAAGGCAGAGTTAGAGAGGCAGGGGCGGAGGAGGAGAGGTCTTCCATCCGCTGGCTCACTCCCCAAGTGGCCACAATGGCTGCAGCTGAGCCACTCCAAAGCCAGGAACTTTTCCGGGTCTCCCATGTGGGTGCAGGGGTCCAAGCACATGGGCCATCTTCTGCTGCTTTCTCAGGTGCATCAGCAGGGAGCTGGATTGTAAGTAGAGCAGCCAGGACTCAAACAGGCACCCACAGGGGATGCCAGCACTGCAGACAGCTCAACCCACCATGCCACGCCAGCCCCTCTCAATCTTGAACGGCTGTTTGGTACTCCATTGTATGGAGGCATCATAATTTAACCAGCACCATATCGCTAGACATTTAAGGTGCTACCAAATTTTCTTTATTATAAACAATGCCATAGCAGACAATTTATAACAGACTTCTATATCCTTTTGTGGCTTGTTAAGGATGAATTCCCATAGTGAAACTACAGAACCAGTGTTCAGACAGGCACCTGCTACACTGCCCCAGGAACCATTCAATCAGTTTCACGGTCCCATCAAGAACGTCTACAGGGGCGGTGCTGTGGCGGAGCGGGTAAAAACGATGCCTGCAGTGCCGGCATCCCACATGGCTTCTGGTTCGAGCCCCGGCTGCTCCACCTCCATCCAGCTCCCTGACAGTGGCCTGGGAAGGCAGCAGAGGACGGCCCAGGCGCTTGGGCCCTGCACCCACGTGGGAGTCGGATGGAGCTCCAGGCTCCTGGCTTCAGCCTGGCCCAGCCCCAGCTATTGTGGCTATCTGGGGAGTGAACCAAAGGATGGAAGATCTCTGTTTCTCCCTCTCTAACTCTGCCTTTCAAATAAAACTTTTTAAAGAAAGGAAAAAGAATATCTACAAAAGTTCATTGATACCCCACATACTTCCTAATAAATTTACAATCTTTTAAACTTTCTTCCATTCAATAAAAATGACAGCCCATTGTTTTTATTTGTAAAATGTATATTATTGCTTGTATACACAGTAAAAAATTCACGACAGCATCTCAATCCCAATGTCTTTCATGCTTTCTTGTACTGGTCAGAATTCTCCATTTATTCCTGAGAACAGCTCATACTCACTTTTGTCCCTGATTGATAAATCAAGGAATGACTGTAAACTTCAGAGTAATAACCTTCATTTTTGAATTATAATTTTTAAAAGTAATAAATTATAAGATAATCTTCAAGAGAATCGTCACTGTAACATAGTCCCAAGTCCTTCCCTTGCACAGTCCTGGGATCTGTGCCTAAATGTTGGCCTTGTCTTATCTTGGAATCTTCCCTCTGCATCTGACTAGACTGCAAGCCCTGGGAGGGTCCGTGTGCCTCGTGTGCAGCTGCGACCCCAGTGTCCAGCAGCGCTGCGCACAGCCCTTGATTAACTACTACACGGACAGATGGACAGATGGCAGAGTGGATGAATGGTGGCTGCAGAGATGGACAAGCAAGATATGTTAAGGCAGAGCCTAAAAATAAAGTCAGAGGCCGGCGCTGTGGCGTAGCAGGTAAAGTCAACGCCTACAGTGCTGGCATCCCATATGGGTGCCGGGTTCAAGTCCTGGCTGCTCCATTTTCCAATCCAGCTTCTGGCCAACATGCCTGGGAAAGGAGCAGAAGATGGTCCAAGTGCTTGGGCCTCTGAACCCATGTGGGAGACCGGAAGAAGCTCCTGGCTCCTGGCTCCTGGCTTCAGCTCAGCTCTGGCCATTGCAGCCATCTGGGGAGTGAACCAGTGGAATGGAAGACCTTTCTCTCGCTGCCTCTCTATAACTCTGCCTTTCAAATAATTTTTTTTTTTTTTACAGGCAGAGTGGACAGTGAGAGAGAGAGAGAGAAAGGTCTTCCTTTGCTGTTGGTTCACCCTCCAATGGCCACTGCGGCGGGCGCACCGCACTAATCCGATGGCAGGAGCCAGGTGCTTCTCCTGGTCTCCCATGGGGTGCAGGGCCCAAGCACTTGGGCCATCCTCCACTGCACTCCCGGGCCACAGCAGAGAGCTAGACTGGAAGAGGAGCAACTGGGACAGAATCCGGCACCCCGATCGGGACTAGAACCCGGTGAGCTGGCGCCACAGGCGGAGGATTAGCCTAGTGAGCCGCAGCGCCGGCTCAAATAAATCTTAAAAAAAAAAAAAAAAAATTAAGTCATCTTGGCCACTGAAATGCAATGATTCCCTAGGAGATTGTTCCAAAAGGGATTCACATGTTCTCTACGGAATACATGTGCAGGCTGCTATGGGAAGCGCCTCGGAGGGAGCGATGCTTTCTGGGATGTGTATAGTCTGCTGTGTATTTTCACAATTGTGCTTCAGGCACTGTAGCTGTTACTTGCGGAGACACAAGTAGCGCCTCTCTTGTAAAGCAGAGAGCCAAGAATACAGCCTCCTCAATGAGACAGCCTCGGGTCCTAACTCCAGCTCAGCTGCGCCCTGAGACTCCAGGCAAAGCACTTCTCTCTGACCCGTGGCTTCCTCCTCTCCAGTGGGCTCACAGGACCTGCCACAGGGTCTACATGCTCTCAGGGCTCAGCAAGGCGCTCGGTGAACGGGGCCGTCAGGTCGCCAACAGCTGCAGCCACCCCTGAATCCTACCGAGTTCGCGGCCTGCTAGGACCTGACCAGTCCGAGAAGGAGAGGCGGATCAAGACTGCGCCTACCTCCCACTTGCATCCCACATGCCGGGCGGATGACTTTCCAGGGGGCATCCAAGGTACCTTGGTTTTCACCCGGACACTCCGCCGCACATTCACGGTGTCCCCTTTCATTCCGCGCTTATGGGATTTCTGTGGGAAGGAACAAACCCGGGGTCACCTCCACACCCAGCTGGCCACAGGGCACTTTGGTGGCTGCAAGGAGGCTCCTCTGGCCACGGCTGGTGCCGCCACTCCAGGATGACAGCCTGCCTACCACCTAGCCAGGCAGGTGACCTTCAAAGACAGCGTCCGTGTGTGACCCAAACCTGTGGACGCAGGGAGGCGTCGCCCTGATCCACGCTGTGACCTCGCCCCGCTGGCAGGCTCCTACCTGGCTGCTGGTCGCTGATGGTCTCGGGAGTTTTTTTATGTGGACGTGGACAGGGGTGTTCTCATCCACGTGAACATGTAAGGGGGGAGTGGAGGAGCGGTCCTTCATGGTGCGCTTCTGGCAGGTGGGGGAGGACAACACAAAAAAGGTTGATCTGTGGACGAGTAAACTGGGCATAAAAACAGGGCTCACAGCCTCGGGAGCCATCGTCAGCCGAGCCACCAAGCCAGCAGGACAGCTACCAACTACCGGCATGCAGGCGGGGAGGCGGGGACCAAGGTGAGAGTGCCATTCAGCTGGAGACCACCAGGGGGACCCACTTGAAGCAGGGGTCTGCAAGGCCAAGGTTCTCCCCAAGAGCCCAGACGCAGCCCCCAGGGTGCTGAGTGGACTCTGCCTCCAGGCCTGCTACAGTGCACAGCGGGAAAGCGGGTAGATCTTCTACACGGAAACTTCAAGCAGGCACGCAGACTGGCACGGGAAACACACAACGCGCTGAGGGTGCAGACTGAACCAGACAGCGGACAGGGGAACAGGACCGTGGGAATGGAAACGCCAGTGACGAGAAGGTTGTCTGCTCCCAAGGAAACAGGAGCAGGGCGGAGCCCAGCAACACCACTGCCTCCTACCCCCTCCCACACTCTTCAAAAGCATTTTTTTTCTTTTTCCTTTCATTTCCTTTTTTTTTTAGTCTGTTCTAAATATTTGGGGATTTGGGGCCAGCATTATGGCACAGCAGGTTAAGTTATCCCCTGTAACATCAGCATCCCACGTAGTCACTAGTTCGAGTCCCAGCTGCTCCACTTCTGATCCAGCTCCCTGCTAATGCACCTGAGAAGGCAGCAGAAGATGGCCCACCTGGGTCTCTGCACCCACCTGGGAGACCCGGATGAAGCTCCTGGTTCAGTCTGGCCCAGCCCTGGACAACGCAGCCATTTGGGGAGTGAGCCAGCAACGGAAGATCCCTTTCTCTAACTCTGCCTTTCACATAAATTTTTTAAAAAGATTTATTTATTTGAAAGGTAGAGTTACAGAGAGAAGAAGAGACAGAAAGAGAAAGAGGTCTTCCACCCACTAGTTCATACCCCAGTGGCCACAACAGCCGGAGCTGAGCCAACCCAGACCAGGATCGGGGAGCTACTCCTAGGTCCCCCACTCGAGCCATTCTCCATCACTTTCCCAGGAGCACCAGCAGGGAGCTGCATCAGAAGTGGGTGCCAGGACTTAACTGGTGCCCATATGGGATGCCGGCGCTGCAGGCCGCAGCTTTAACCCACTGAGCCACAGCGCTGGCCCCTCAAATAAATTTTTTTAAACTTTAAAAAATAAATTTTTTTAAAGATTTGGGGGACTTTCCTAGGACGATAAGGTTTAGACGACCTTCTCACACATCAGCAGCCCTACCAACAGACAAAAAAAGCAGGAAATCAGCAAGATCTTTCCAGCAGCCCCCAGCCGGGGGCCCTGCCCACAGCAGTGCCTGGCGGGTTAGGGCAGCTCCCAGGACAGGGGTGCAGGTGTGCCCGTAACCTACCGTCACAGTTACGCTGGGCGCGCCACACGGTGTTCTCAAGACCTTTTTCTGCGTGAGACTGGTTACTCCGTTCTTCCCACACGATGGAAACCTGCATCCAGGCACAAAAACCAGATTATAAGCAGAAAACTAGGGCTCTCCTGCTTCTTTCTTTTTTTAAAAGTTGAACATATTTGGAGAAATAGAGTTCCAGAGAAAGAGAGAGAGAGAGAGAGAGAGATCTTCCATCCACTGGTTCACTCCCCCAAATGGCCACCAAAGGGTGGGGCTGGGCCTGGCCGAAGCCGGGAGCCGGGAACTCCATCCAGGTCTCCCACATGGGTGGCGGGGACCCAGGTAATTGGGCCACTTTCCACTCCTTTCCTGGGCACATTAGCAGCGAGCTGGATTGGAAGTAGAGCAGCCAGGACTCAAACCAGTGCGGATATGGGACGCCAGCGTCACAGGGGGCAGCTATCCCACTGTGCCACACACCGGCCCCTCGCCCGTCTCTTAGATCTCCTCTCCCGAGATCACACGCTACTTGTGGTGGCTAACGTGGTCACGGCTAGCAGCAGTCTGGAATGTTCCTTGCCTCTCTGCGGATGAGCAGCAGACATGCATGGTGGGCCCGGCAGCAGGATGGAAACAGGGTGACCGGCACCGGCACGGCTGGCCTTTTAACCTGCTGTCGCATCACACGTATTGTGACCTTTGGCTGAGAAGCCAGCTGTCACCCTGCCTGCCAGGTGACGGAAAGCAGGCAGCACAGGAGCGGCTGAGGGTGACAGTGCCCCGGGGGCAGGGCCTGGCACACAGGCGGCCCTGAAGAAACGCCCAGTGAATGACGGACATAAAAAGGGCGGAACACCCCCAAAAATCACCGAGATTTCAGCTGATACACTTAAGGCTTGAACAGTCGCCCAAGAGGATGAAAACTCTCCTAAACATGTTCCACCTGCTACCGGCGAGGCGTCAGGCAGCACCTGGCTTCAGCGCTCCCCCGCTCACTGCCGGCTGGGCAGCTCCCTGGCCTGCGCAGCCTCGGCCCCCAGGAGTTGCAAGGGCAGCCCAAGTTGAGTCTGGGGTCCATCTAAGAACCGCGGGGTGGGAAGGGGCTTGGGAGGCTCACTCAGTCCGCCACACCTGCCTCCTGACAGCCCCAAAACATCACCTCCTCCCCACACATACCACAGGAAAACAGGGCAGGATTTAAAAAAAAAAAAAAACTGCCATGCAAAAATGCTTTGAGCGCTCCGGGGTGCATTTTGCTGCGATGTGGCACAGCCTGGCTTAGGACAGAGACAGAGAGCGGCCCAACCTCACACGTGCTGGGCAGACACACCTCCCTCCCTCTGCGCACTCTAAACCAACAGTAAACCACCCGGATTCCACCAACACCTGGCTAACCACTGCATCCTGCACCACCCTCACTTATTCAGACCTGCTCCATCCAGACAGGGGCGACCCCCTGTGCTCCCAGAAAGCTGCGGCCCCCGGGGTGGGGGTGGCCAGGGAGCAGAGAGCCACGCAGGGCTGGGACCATCATGCCCGGGCACTTCTTTCCTCCGTCCCTTTAAAGACGGCTTTGCAACGTTTCCGTCCGGACTTCACAGACTGGCCTGGGGTGGGGGACCCGCTACGACCGCCTCTCCCTGCCCTGGGGTGGAGGCGCCCCCCACGCTGGAGTACCTGGGGGAGCCGCCCGAGGATGAGGCAGACATGGCCAGGCATCAAAGCCGCACCGGCTCTGCTCAGGGGCACCCACAGGGCCTTGTCAGTGAGAATCTGAGGGGCCCGGCATCAACGTCCTCTCTGGGGGGAGAGGGTGGAAGCTTTGGGGGTGGCAGGTGGATGGCACCCTTGGGAGGCGCTCCTCTACTGTCCAAGTCGCACAGCAACTGTCCTGCCAAAGTGGGGGGGAGACAGGAGAGGCTGAGCGACCTGCGGGGGCGGGGGCGGCCGGTACACGGGCGGGGCTCCCCTCGCCGGGGTGGGGCTTCGAGGGGGAAAGGACCGCCCCGCCCGGGCCCCACCCAGCGGGGAGGAGGCGGGGGTCTGGGGCTACCACCGGGAAAACCTGAGGGTGCTGGCTGGGGTGCGCGGAGGCCGGGTGAGAACCGCTAGGCCCCGAGTGGGCCCCAAGGGGCCGGAACCCACGCAGGGAGCTGGAGGCTAATCGGGGCGGGCGGGGCGGGGCCGGGGCAACTGTCTCCTAGGAGAGGGGGCGTTCCCGGCAGAACAGATGCCCCAGAGCACCAATAGCATTTGAAAGAGGGAGAGGCGCGGAGGCTCCGGGGGAGGGGGCCGCCGGCGGGCGGGCGGGCGGGTGCCCCCGGGCCACCGAGAGCCGGGCGGACTGGGCCCCCGAGTTGGCGAGGGCTGGACTCCCGGGGCTCCCGTGGGCCGGGGGCGCTGCCCACCCGGAGGGCCAATTACTGCTGCGCGGTGGCCCGAGGGCGGGAGAGGAGGACCTGGCGCCGCCCGCCGGGGGCAGCAGGACGAAGAGCCAGCCTCTGCCGCTGAGGGGAAGGGACGGGCACCCACCAGCGGCAAGGGGGGCACCGCTTTCTGCCCATAGAGAGGCCCTGCCCCCGGGCAGCAGAGGAGGGAGCAGAGCCCTGCCGGCGGCCTGGAGAGCGGGGAGGGGGCCCGGCCGCCCGTTACGGGAGGAGGAGAAGCCCGCGCCGGGGGCGGCGCGGGGGCCACATTCTGACAGGAGTGGGACGAGCGCGCCGGGGGGCTGCGGGGGGCGCGGCCCGGCGGGGCGCCCGGGGTCCCGCCTGCCGGCGGCCTCTCACCAGGAGCGACACGGCTGCGCCCAGAAACGCCTCCTTATGAAGTCGTTGAAGTCGGAGGCCAGGGTCGTGCCATGGAGACGCCGCGGCGGATGCAGTCCGGCTCCGGCGGCGGCTCCTCCCCGCTTCCGCCTCCTTTTCCGACACCCGGTCGGCAGCTCGCCCATTGGCCAGTTCAAACCCCTCCCTGAGCCGCTCGGGCGTCGCCATTTAGGCCCAGCCCCTGGCGTCACAGAGATGCCCCGCCCCTCCGATGCTCCGCCCACTTCCGGGCCACGCGTCCGGTCGCCCCGGGAGACGCGCGACGCCCCGGCGGGCCTGCGGGGGCCGGCCCGGGGCTGTCCGGGACTGGCTTCGCCCGCGCCCGGGTCGTCTTTCCCGCGGCCCGCAGCTCGGACGCGCTGCCTTTGGGCGGGGGGTCCCAGGACGCGGGGCT